GTGTTGCCAACCTGTTACTAACATACTAATTTAAATCAGATGGTTGACGTTTTTAATTTTAGTTTGCAATGGACTAAGACTATACATGTGTTTATTTAATATAGTTCAACTGATAAGAAATACATTAAAATTTGATAAAATAATTTTCTTATTAACTGACCTTATTCAAAGATGCCCTTGTGGCATAAGGAAACATAGGATGTTACAGGAGAGAAAACTGACACTCTTTTTTGGTTGTTGTTTTTTTGTTTTGTTTTGTTTTGGTTTTTTTTTTTTTTTTTTCCTGTACAGTGGTCCAAAACCTTCTAGTCTTCCTAGACGTGTATTTGATAACTCTACAGTTACTGAAATATTTAATATTATCACTAGTTTTCACAAATTAGTTGTTGCAACATAACAGCAAGTATCTTAATAATCAGATCATATCCTTGCTCTGCCCTTCCCAAATAATCTGTGTTTGCAGTAGAGAAGCTTTTGAGCAGTTATTCCTTGCTGTTGTGTCATGCAGTCCTCTTGTTCTCCTCTTATTTTTTCTCTGCCAAAAGCAGCTGAGGAAAAGAGATGTTTTATAGTGAATCAATACTGAACACTGAAGCAAACTTCATACCTTCAGCAATGTATCTACAAGCTGAGGAGAGGTGAACAAACAGATTGAGGAAAGAGGAGGACAGGGACTAGTTTCTTGCTTGTTATTGGTGAAGAGGGCGACATTCCTGCAATATGACTTGCCTCTGCAGTATCCTGTGGTGAAGCCAGATTTTGTGGTTGTCTTATTGGTGCACTTCCTTCACTGTGTGTTTGCACTTGAACTTGTGTTCATCTTTCATCTAGACTGTTTAGAGGAATAAATGCAGCAAATAAGCTCCTAATGGCAAGGAATATTGCCATTGCTCACGGCTTAGGTAGATGAAGTATCTCTTGCTCCCTGCCTTTTGTTATTTAAGTCCACTGGAACATTGTTCCAGGCAGAGTCCTCTGCTGTGGGGTTTTGTTCTTTTTTTTGTATGTGTGTCTATAAAGGCATCTCTAAATATATAGCTGATATTTCCTATTGACACTGAAAGCAGAGTGAGAGAGAACAGTCTGTCTTCCTATTCAGCATTATGCTTTTCTTTCTCTTTAAGATTTTTTTTTTAAACAAGTGCTAACCTGTATTTTAAGGAGATATTCTCTGCAGCACAAATATTAACAGTTCATATATCCTTATGCTGCCCCTCAAATAATCCCTATCCTTGAATGAAATCAAACATTGATTTATGCAGGATACACTGTTTTGCTTATAAGCCCCCTGAAAAAACTGCATTTTCTGTCATGTGACTTAGGAAGACCCACACAGCAGCTCTGTGCATCCCTTAAGAAGACAATCTCCAGGGTTCTCATAAGCATCTCATTGCTAAGGCTACATTTCTGCTCCATTTCATAAATGAAAAATAAAATGGTTCTCTTGACAAAGAGAATGGGGCCAAATTTGCCAAACAGCTACAATAAAAAGAAGAGTATAAACCTTTTAGATGGAGCTCATGGGTTCTACTTCCCACACTGTGCAAGTGTTAATACAAGCAAATAGTATTACTTCCCGTGTAGCTGTGGCACAAATGTAATACTTACTGTCTCACAGGAGAAATTTATGAGGCTAAATTTTTTGTGCTTTCTTCTTTTCTCTGCCTTCTGTTGATCAAGATAATATCCTTGATTTTTAATCATCATCTTAATGTTTTTGTTAAGATATTTAATGCATGGAATGCAATAATTCCCACTACAATGTAGCTTTTGCCAGCATCTTCAGTTATGTGAATTTCTCTCAGGAATGGCCTCATCTAAGATTTTTACAGTGGTGAAGCAAAGCTGTCTTTGGCACTGAGAGAAGAGTGTAATGAGAATCCTCTTAGTAAATTTGTAGCCATGACAGGGTTAGAATTTAACTTTATACAGACTCTGCTTGAAGCATATAAGGAAAACATCTGATTCTCTGAATAGAGTACGAGTTGAACACAGCTAAAAAAAAGAAGAGAAAATTTTTAGAAGTTAGCAAGGTATCGTGGGACTCAAGTATGTTATGTTACTGGCTCAACTATTTTTGGGTACAGGTCAGAACAAGAATCAATTGTTTGTAGCCTCACAATAATAAATACTTATGCTTTTCACAGCTGATCCTGGTAACAAAAAACAGTTGCAGATAAGATTGGATCTTTTCTTCAATGGCTCTTTCAAAGGAAACATGGTCCTCAGCCTGTGGCCCTGTTGTAACTCTTCACTGACTACCATCTTGCGGAGATTTCTTTCATTACACATTTCCTCTCAGCTGTTGCATGCTTATGGATTGAAATGGATGTACCCACCAAGCTGGTACAGATGGATATGTTCTTGGCTGTTGCGCAGAATTAATTAGCGTTTTCTGTTCTATATATGCCCTTACATTGTGCATACCCCAGTAGCTGAGTGCATTGAACAATGTATCTAACATCTGTCACATGTTCATTTTCTCTCTGATCCTTTCCCCTAGAGAGGGAAGGTGTGCATCATGCTGTCTTGCTTTGGGAGCATGGCAAACAGACTTTGAGAGCACCTCCTGGGTCATCGTCTTGTCTCTGGCTGTTGGAGACATCTATGTTATATAATGCTCCTGTGAGCTGAGCAAGTTCCTGTCTAACATTAGATTTCTTTGTGCTGCTACTGGAAAGCTGTTCTGCTGGTTCTGTATAAGGGTTAGAAAGCTTTCGTTTTCAGCTTCAGATTGTTTCTGCCTGTCTTTTGCTTGTTTCATCTTGTGTCAATGTTGTTCTTGATCTACATTAGCTTTTTTCCTCCTATGATCTTTATCACGGTTACTGAATTTATAGTCAACAGTCTTGCTTCCTCTTAGCCTATATTTTGGTAGGCTGTTGTAGTGTTAGTACAGGTGTGACTATGAGATAATTGTTATTCCATCAAAATTAAAGCTGAGAAAAATAATTCCAAGTGGATTTAATTTTTCATTTCTTGAAACCATTAACTTGAATTACATCAGAGTTAGTGCTGTACTGATGTATGAGAAAATCCCATCCTACCTTAATATTTAGGTAGGAAACCTACTACATTTATTTTCTAAAATGCATAGCCTAAACATCTAAGAGGATTCAATTTAGTCCTATGGCTCTTCTTAGGTAAGACTTTAAGAATAATCCTACTGGTTTGAAATGAGTCTGTTCTGCACAAAGTTCTACATGAAATTGGGAAATATATCCTAATTTCCTTCTAAAGCATAAGGTGCATGCTAATGGAAAGTCAGTAATGAGGCTGTCCTGCCTCGGACCTAAGGCAAGTCATAGAATTAGTATGGCTCAACACTCAGCCTTAGGTCCTGGGGTAAATCCCCTGGTGACTGAAGGTTATGGCCTATAAATTCAGAGATATTTTTTGACCTGTGTCCTTCTCAGCATATGACAAGCCCTATATGAGGCCACATCATTTACCTGAATACAGGGTCATGGGATGGGGCTGCAGTGCTGAGGCTACAGTGGGGGCTGCTTGGTGGTGTGTTCCCACTAGGTACAGCTCTTCCTTTCTTCTCACCTCCCAGAAGCCATCCAGGGTCATGACATTGCTCCTGCTCTGGAGCATGTCTGGCTCACAGACAAAGAAGCAGACTGACCTGCTTGCTGTATCTGGCGTCAAGTCACAGACTGGAAAAGAGGCCATTCTGCTGCGCTGCAAATTTGTTAGAAACTAGGGCAGTTTAGTGCAAAAGACTGAGGAGCTTAGTTTTGTGTTTGGCACTAGACCTGGCAGGTTTGGCTGCATCCTAGTATGACTATGACTGTCATAGTGTGTTCGCACAATGTGACTGATCTGTGGCAAACAGTTCACGTTTCTGGAAAAATTTCTACTGGATTTATAAAGAACACCTGAACTGTCTTCTGTTGATTTTTTCCTCTGGTGGTTACACCTTTCGAGTTGTGATTTTTTTGGGGAGGAGGTTAGGCTGATTGAGCAGTCTTCCTCTTTCCAATTTGCTATGTTAAACTATTGTTACAAAGGTTGAAGATGGACCTCTAGAAGTGATCAGCATATCTAGTGTTACTCCCTCAATAAGTTAATCAAATATTATGGATGTAGATAGCATAAAATTGATGCTTATCTTTTGAACCATTTCTTGTTACTGTTCAAAGATGTTTTTTTGTAATTCATCTGCTCCTCTTGCCTGATTGATGTTCATCATAAATCCAGTGCTCATGGCAGGCATAAAATATTCAAAGAAAACTTGAGATTTCACCTGTCTTCATAGTTGAAGGCAGTTAAGAATTTTGTAAAGCTGTTAATTTGGTTTCCTAAATGTATAAATAGAACAGGGGATTTGAGAATCAGTTTTGATATTGCCTGAATCACAAAGTTCAAATATTCCTATATTGGGAAGAGTTATTTCTGAAGTACTTACAGGTGGAAAGTCTTCTATTCCAAGAGAAACATCAAGCCTACATTTTAGCTGTCATGAACACTGGTCAGTCAAATTAGTGTAAGTGGCTTCTAAAATACTACCACATCAGTGTATTTTAAATTTATATCCATCTTTCATTCACTTTTATGTGTGGACTGCATGTGGTACAGAAGAGGTTGGAATTAAATAATTTTTTCTCTTCACTATTTTTCTAGACTAGCACAACTGTGATTTTTGCCATAGGAATGTTAATCAAACTTCATTCTTACTGTCTGAACTGTCTTTGTCCCCTTTTCTACTTATCCATCCCTTGTTTGCCTTTAATATCCACTAGTAAAACCATGTAAGAAAAAAAAACTTTCAGTCTCCAGGTCAGTTAAGACCTACTGATACATGGATATCTTGTTGCTTCATTGAAATCTGGGTATGTTCACTTTTGTGGATCTCCTTTGTTCTTCCTTCTGCTAATGCTAGTTGATTTTTTTTGAAGGAAAACTATCCCTTTCCCATCACAGCCCCCCTTAGTTGTTTAAATGCATGATATAATAGAAACTTCTTTTTTTTTTTTTTTTTTTTTTTTAAACAGGAAATTATGGGGAAAGTGGAATGGAAGCCTTCAAAGAACTGGCTGCCCAAGAGGGTCTCTGCATTGCTCACTCTGACAAGATCTACAGCAACGCTGGGGAAAAGAGCTTTGATCGCCTGCTCCGCAAGCTGCGAGAAAGGTTACCCAAGGCTAGAGTGGTGGTTTGCTTCTGTGAGGGAATGACAGTGAGGGGGATCCTCATTGCCATGAGGCGCCTGGGAGTGCTTGGGGAGTTCCTGCTAATTGGAAGGTAAGGCTCTGAGTGTGATTTCTCTCCCTCTTGTCCTGCAGGCAGTCCTTTCATTTCAGAACTGTGCAACTCAGGCTACCTGTAATTTCCATATTTACTTTTCTAATGAATGAAAAGAAGTGGCAAGATGGTAAAGCAGATGTCAGCAAGGGAATATGAAGATGTATGTCAACTTAATTGGTGGTGTTAACTATTGCTGAAGTAAATGTAAACTACTAACTGTTTTATATGGATATATAACATTAGTGCTTTTGCTCATTTGCACACTCTAGGGAATGTTTCATATGCGGATTTTAGAACCAAAGTAGGGAGTGAAGAATTCTGGTTACAGATTGTGATCTAGAAGTGTGACACATGACAAAATTTCATCTGTTTCAATAACGAAGACTTCTGATAATTTGAAACTCCAAATTACTGAATGGTTTCGATGACTTGAACTTTTTTTCCAGTCTTATGATTACAACCTGGCATTCTCAGTCGTACACTTTGTTCTGCTCTTTGCTGCTGAAAGCTCAAGCACTGATATTACACATACTTGTTTTTTAAAATCTCAAACTTGCTGATGGCCAAGTCAGTATGTATGTGTGTTTTTATAATACCAGAGTAACAGTGCAGATGTGTATATTGGACAGGCACAGACTGTCTTTATCAAAATGAGAATGGTTGCTTTTTTCTTCCAGAGTTTATCTTTGTAGATATTCACTGAAATATGGTCATTTTGGTTCTATCACATATAGTCTAAGCACATTTCCATTTTTGTGATAGTTCTTATTTTGAGGCTTCTTTGTCTTTCACCTTGATTTTTGCAATATCTTTATATCTGCTTTTCTGTTTTGGTGAATCTTGTTCAAATGATAAGACTGACATTTTTCTATCTTTCTGTTAGATTGATAATGTCTTTTTTAATCCTTCTATTTACTTTTTGTTTCTTTCTTATCTATTATTTAAACACCATTCCTTCAAGGCCTTTGATAGTTGCTTCTATACCTATTTAGCTTCTGATGCCTTTTTATTCTGTTGTCATTCTGATCTATCAGACTTCTTTTTATCCCTCTTTCCCTGAAGTCTTTGTGTCTGTCATTGTCATGACTGGGATGCTCTCCTTTTGCCCTGTGCTATAATATTTGTCTTTTTCTGACTGTATTGTCCTTAAAGCCCACAATTATGATTTCTGTAAATCAGCTAATCTAGCCTAAGTAATCATGTGAAAACAATCAATGGCTCTCCTTTCACCATTAATTTTTGTTGCAGTCTTTACAATCTATTTGGAGGAGAGACTGTATCACTAGAAGGGTGTATGGGTAAGATATAACATTTAGATAGAAGGGTGTGTAGATAAGGTATAGCACATTTAAAAAATCATCAGCATTAAAATGAAACAAAGAGTAAGGCTGTATTGAAAATGGTATTATGTGCTAGATTTGTGTATGTGTTTTTCACCAGCATCATTCAACACACATAATTTTAAATGAGTAACGGAACATTTCAGGACTGATGTTTTATGCAGGTTTTTTCAGTGAATAGAAGAAGCTGACTATAATAAAATTAGTCTGGGTGATAGCATCCCTGGACTTTTTGCAAATGCCCAGCAGCTTTAGGCAATGCTATGCTTTCTTCATGTATTGTTTCCATTCTGTACTGGTGTCTTATAGTTCACCTCACTTTGGTGCTCCCTCTTGATGCTGTCCATGCAGAGAGCCAAAGGAAACCACTCTCATACATTAAGCACCAAAACTAGGTACTTTGGTGGTAAAAACCTTAGCTTTCTATAAGGCCATTTACTTGAACCCCTACTCCATGGATGTGTGGAACATTTCAGCTTGAAATTTTGACTACAAGCCTTTACCAAGCACTATGCTACTCTATTTAGCTTAGTTTGTCTCAAAATCTGCCCAACAGCGTTGCTCTGAGATTTTTGTCAGAAATTCTCACCTATTAAATACTAATAATGGAATTTCTTTGGAAATCACAGTATGTTTTTCAGATAGGTTTTCACATACCCTTCTTTTATGTTGGTAATTGACTATGGGAGACCCCTTTTTAGGGCTGGATGGTTTGTTCTGATTGCAAAACAGACTGGCTAGTGCTTTGCATAGCTTGGATTATGCCCTACAGCTGGTTGAAATAAAAAGTACTATAGGGCTTGCACATGTTTTATATGTGCTTGTGGAACTAAAAGAAAATACATTTTCTTTGAATTGTCCTAATTAAGTGATTTAAAAAAATGGCAAATCTAGCAAACTTATTCACAAGTAAGTTGCAGAGAATCTGCAGTGCTATGAATTTGGTCATCTATATACAAACAGGAACCAAGGCACGCATTAGCATCGTTCTGACATGCTGTTTAGTCATTTTTATTCAAGTACCCAACTAAGCAAAAAACCAAAAGCCTTTTAAGAATATTCTTTTAATTGAGGGAAGTGGGAGTGAATGTGAAATCAAGATTTTTTGCAATAATGAGCTAAACAAAGCATTTAATTTACCCACAGGTTTATTATCAGCCACAGTGTATCAACCCTGTACTCTGCTCTGACTCACTGTAAAGAGGAAGCCTTTACAAAGGAACACCTGGCTAAATAGCTCTCTTCCTGCTGTATCTTCAATATTGCTATTGATCAAAGCAGACAGGAACAGCTTAGCTTAAGTAAATTTAAAGTATCAGAAAGAGAGCTGGGAACTAAATTTGATTTCTGTTTAATCTGGGAATTATACATTGGGAATTATAGGGGGTTACACTGACCCAGGACTGGGTCATCAGATACTGGGGACTTTTCTGGGATGGGCTGACTCTTCTCAGGCATGGAGTTAGGACCTTATTTATGCTGCATCTAAACAAGTGTTCCCAAAGTCAGATTGGAGATCTACCTAGAAGTTCAGTCTCCTTTGCTACTGAAAGTAGGAGTCTGATGTATTAGTGAGAAGAAAAGGAATTCCTATTTCTGAAACTGGAGGGAAAATGGGATTATGACAGGACAGGAGAAGTTACAATCCTGCCCCAGGGATAATGGCAGATGTTCTGAAATAAATACAATATCCAAATATAGTGGAGAGTTCAGTGAGAAAATTTATTAAGTAATGAAATTAAGGATGATAAAGCTTTAAAAAGTGGCTAATAATCAAAAGAAAAGGAGAAGGCAAAAACTGATCATGACTTTGTATAAAAACAATGGTTGGAATAGTATTGGGGTAACCAAAAGCAAAAATTATGCTAAGAAAATAGACTGTACTCTTACGGGAATTCAGGTGATAGCTCTTTTAGTAGAAATTAGTTTTGATGTGAAGAGATTATGTAGAAAGTTTCTCAACATCATGTGTCTAATCACATTTATGCAGGCCATTGGGTTTTATAGTACTTGATAAGCATCTGTTAGGCTTTGTGAGAATCTTGCAAGATGGATGAGTCTCCTGTATATCCCCTGGGATGATGCATCAAGGCAAGGCATGTAACTGACTTTCGAGCATCTGTGTGGGTAATGCAAAGCAAATTAAAGATGCAAACAACATCCCCAGTTTTAAGAGTTACTCTCAGATCATTGGAGAAGAGACATGTTAAGATAAATAGTTGGAAATGAAAGTGTTCTTTTGCAATTTGACAATCTCTCAAACTTCTACACACATGGTTTGTGTAAACACATGAGGAAATTTAGGAAGGAACTGATATGTTAGGGCACTGTTTTTCAATATAACACTTGGCAATGGACTAGTTATTGCTTTACTTCTGTAGGCTTTCCAATGTTTTATGCTCTCGATTAATAGGCTCTACAGGCTGTTGTAGAAGTATGGATTTTAAGTGTTGGTAGGGTGACCTCTCCTGAAACTTTGGACACTTGGCAGTGAAGATAGAGTTGGATTCTCTGCTGTGAACCCAGCGCGTGACAGACGCCAAGTTAGTTCTTTTTCTATATCTAATAAAACCCTTTCAGCTTAGAGTGACAGCTTTCAGTATGCATAGTGTGATGAAATTTTTCCTGACTGCCCTCCCTTTACAAGCCAATATTAATAACGGTGGTTTTGGCATTTAACTTCACACTTTCTAAAATATTGACAAGACATTGTCAACATAAGTTGTTTGGTCTTGTTATCTGACATTGTTGGATCTGTGGAACCTGATTTCATTCAGGTGAAAGAGTAAACAACTTGTTGGTGAGTTGACAGAGAAATGTACCTTGACACTGTCAATACCTGGATGGCAGGGTATGTTGGAGGATTTGGGCAGGTGCATAGCACAGTTATCACCTTCCAAAGCCTCAGATTTTATGCCTGAATAGTGAACATAATCCTGTTGACTTGGTACATCACTTGACAGAAGTGCCTTGCCTACCTGAATGAGACCCATCAGTTCCTAGCACTGTGACTGTGACTACTAATCTCCATATGAGCAGAGGAAGGAGGGCCTCTACATCTGTGGACATCATGGTTAAGACAGGGACCCAAGCCCTATCTATACTAATCACCACAGTAGTCAGAAAGAAAAACTGGAAGCAGAAATTGACAAGTCCATAACATCAATTAGTAAAGGAGGAGGAAGAGTCTGATCAGGAATCTGGTTCTTCAGCAAGGAAAGAGGAGAGGGAGGTGACAGAAATCACTCTATAGGCAGAAATCACCTGGTCCTTTAGTGAACTTTGAGATATGTGGAAAGATTATGTCTGGCAGCCAGGTGAATGGATTGCTGTCTGATTGATCATATGCTGGGGTACTGAGGCTGACAGTCAGGAATTAGAAAGCAAGCAAGCCCACAACCTGGGATACCTCGCTAGGGACCAAGAAATAGACAAAGAAATTGGAAGGGAGGCAACAACCCAAAATCTCTGGAGATGGCTCCTGTTGAGTGTGAAGGCAAGGCATCTTCTCAGGGATGACCTTGTAAATTTCCAAGGGAAGTGGATCACCACAGAGAAAGGTGGTGTTTTAATTTGTCTTTCTTTCTCACTATCCAAATCTATTTAATTGACAAGAAATTTAATTAATTTGCCCCAAGTTGACACTCTTTTGCCTGT